TAATGTATTCACTGGATTGGCGAGAGTGTCTTTAGCCATTAAAATGTGGCCTCACTTATTTGCAAATAAAATTACGGACGTTCAAAAATGCAGTTTTGTGCGATTTTTGTCAAGTTTTCGTCCAATTCTTATTACATAATTATCTATGAAATAACGAACAGCTGTTCGGATCAAGATTACTTTTTCTAGCTGTCACTGATATGTTGTTTACAAATACCGCAACCATTTCCGATCACGTTTTGAAGGCAAATCCCACCCAAGTGAGATTAAAAACGTATTTCTTACATAAAGGATTTAATTAATCGCAAGTGGAATAACTTATAGTGTAACCGTAAATTAAATTAAATAGGTAACTATAGGCTTCATCCAGGTCAGGAACCAGAGATTCTTTGTGCATAAAATTGTTCTTGAGTTTTGATAACCAGAAAGAAGACCTTGAATCAGTGTTGTATAGGGCTGGGAAACTTAAATTTATTAATGATCGTCTCCAATAGCTTAGAAACAAGGTTCCACTCATTGACGGCGCTTCAATGGCGGTTGTGTAAAGTGTAAAGTAAAGAATCACAACTGCAGTGGGTAATTGTAACAGAGGGTTACGGATGATGCTAAACTCGATTTTCCAATGTGTCACTGTCTGTTCTTACCATTGACTATACAGTATATATAGTCAATAGTTCCTACTCACTGTGTGATGCAATCGCTGGACCATACAGCCAATAGGCCCATAGCCCATCTCTTGGACGTGTACGCCTACCCAATTATAACAACCTTTTCGACGACGATCCTTGATACCGGTACCTTTCCCTAGAATACACGGCATACCTCTTGAGAAATAAAATTACAAACGTGTAAACGTAACGTAAATGTAACGTGTGATTTTTGTCACATTTCCTTCTAATGTTAATAGATACCAATCATTGATTAGGGAATACGTAATCTATTAAATAACAGAAAGTTGTTGTATAAGGTTGTTTTTTTTTAACTGACACCGATAAGTTTACATTAAAAGTTGTTTACAAATAAAGTAATTAATGGGAAATAACGTTGATTGCCGATAACTTTTTATACGAGAAAATCCAAAACCAAGAGATCAATAACCTTGATTAACGCATATTCGGATACGTACTATAGTTCTTAACTGTAAAAGTTGGTTTTTGGTACGGTACTGGTTCTTTTCCTTTGAACCGTTGGTAGCAGCAAGAATCATTTTTTCTTCACTGTAATTTACAAATTAGTTATCGTTGGTGTTGCACCTTATTTATTACAGGCGTATTCAATTTAATTGATGTCTTAACTGTACCTATAAGTTTTGCTTCTTCTGTCTGGATTCCAAAATGTTAGTTTATGGTAAGAAAACGATAACGCATTTTAGTAAAACGTTTATGAATTGTTCAAACGCTTTAAACGTTGTTTGGTATCAATAGTTCGTGGCCTATTTTGGTAATTTTTATTATAAATTACCAATCTAAATCGTCTATAGTACTTCATTTCATATAGCAAGCCGATTCATATAGCATTTCAACAGCAAGCATTTCGGGTCATCTTCGGTCCAAGCAAATATAAATTGTTATGATAAAATTGTATAACATTAACAAAGATTTCAAATACTAATTTTATTTGTAGGCCTTCTTTGTTATGCTTAAAGCGTAGCAAATTCCCTATTAAGTTCTGTATTTTTGTGTGTATGTCTGTTGGTAATGCATTATTGTCCTTATTTCTCAGTGTTTCACGGAAAGGACAAGAGCACCTTGATAATGAACGGGTTGTCAACCCGAATAAAGTGTTAAATTGTGAGGTTGAGGTAGGACCTTAAATACTTTTTTAACTATTGTGGAAAGTAACTTTGCCTACCTCAGGGCTATGCCTCATAGATCTATAAAGCATTTTTTTAAGTTTAATAATTGGATAATGGATTTAACACATGGACCAACAAGATCCGGGTGACATTTAATTGCCAAGCATTAGTTTTGCCTTGAAACTGTCAGATACTGTATTTGCGAAGGTTTAGGCTAAATATAATAGTTTTGTCAGCATATCTGAAAGTATGCAAACCAACTGCTGTTCTCAATATAAGAAGGTTTTAACTGACTACTAGCTGTGTGCCCGTTCTACACACGGGGATCTTATAGTAGTCAGTTGAAACCTTCTTATATTAAGATTAAGAACAGCAGTTAGTTTGCATATTTGCAGATATGCTGGCAAAACTATTATATATAAACCTTCGCAAATACAGTATCTGACAGTTCAAGCCAAAATAAATGCTTCGCAATTAAATGTCACCCGGATCGTTATGGTCCATATGTCCAATGATTAAACTAAAAAATGTTTTATAGATCCATGAAGCGTAGCCCTAAAGTAGGCCTATAATTGAAAGTTACTTTCCACATCGGTTAACTTAAACGTATTTAAAGTACTACCTCAACCTCACCATTTAACACTTTATTCCGGTTGACATTTTCAGTATCAAAGGTGCTCTTGTCCATTCCGTGAAACACTGAGAAATAAGGACATTAATGCGTTACCAACAGACATACACACAACAATCCAAAAAAGGCCACGAACTATTGATACATAAACAATATAAAGGCGTAAACAGTTCATGATGGTTTGCCCAACAAATGTTTTACTCAAATAGGTTATCATTTTCTTAGCATACCGGGTAAGCTAAGATTTGGAATCCAGACAGAAAAAGCAAAACTTATACAGAGTTAAGACATCACTTAAATTGAATACGGACGGCTCTAATAAATAAGGTGCAACACCAACGATAACTAATTTGTAAACTACAGTGATGTGTTGGTACCTACGTAAAAATAATTCTAGCAGCTACCAACGGTTCTAAGGAAAAGAACCAGTACCTACGTAAGAACCTACCTAAGAACTATAGTACATCCGACCAATTAAATACATTAATATCTAGTCCCGAGGTTATTGATCTCTTGCTTTTGGATTTTCTCGTAAAAAGTTATAGCGTGAACTTATCGGTGTCAGTTTGAAAAAAAAACAACCTTACCCAAACAACTGTTTGTTATTTAATAGATAACGCATTCTCTAAACAATGATTAGTATATCTATTAACATTAGAAGGAAATGTGACAAAAATCACACAATGTTGGGGTTTTGGTCATTTGTAATTATATTTCTTAAGTAGGTAGGCCATGTATTCTATGGAAAAGTACTGGTATCAAGGATCGTCGTCAAAAAGGTTGTTATGAATAATGAATAAATATGTAGGCTTACGTACCCAAGATATGACCTATGGGCCTATTGGCTGTATGGTCCAGCGATTGCATCACACGGTGAGTAGAAACAGAAAGTGACACATTGGAAAAGCGAGTTTAGCACTTCCTCTGTTAAACCTCTGTTACAATCACCCACTACAGTTGTGATTTTTTACTTTACACTTTACACAACCGCCATTGAAGCGAAGTCAATGAGTGGAAACCTTTTTTGTAAGCTATTGGCGACGATCATTTCAGTGTCCCAGCCCTATACAACACTGATTCAAGGTCTTTCTGGTTGTCAAAACTCAAGAAACATTTTATACTCAAAGAATTTCTGGTTCCGATTTGGACGATGTCTAGTTATTTACTATTAGACTATATTATTGCACTTGCGATTAATTAAATCCGTTATGTAAGAAAAACGTTTCTCACTTGGTTGGGATTTGCTTTCAAAACGTGATTCAAAATGGTTGCGGTATTTGTAAACAACATTTGTAAACATATCATTGACAGCTAGAAAAAATAATCTTGATCCGAACAGCTGTTCGTTATTTCATAGACGATTATGTGATAAAAATTGAACGAAAATTTGACAAAAATCGCACAAAACTGCATTTTTGAACGTCCGTAATTTTATTAACAATAACAAAGTAGTGAGGCTATATTTAAATCACTAAAGACACTCTCGCCAATCCAGTGAATACATTAAAATGACTTGGATCTTGATAGGTACTCTGGTTTTCACGGAGAAGATTGCGTAAAATGCCATCTTGAGTGTTACAGACAAAGGGAAAGACAGACAGACAGACAGAAATAGAGATAAGACTCGTTTCTGCTTCTTTAATGTATAAAACGTAAAAATAACCTAAAAGTATATAATTCTGAGCAAAGTACAGACAAAACTCTAATTTTATTTATATAGATGATAAGATCCCCGTGCGTAGAACAGGCACACAGCTAGTTTCTCATAAGGTTAACATCGGAAACTCCAGAGCCACTGGGGCGGAGCCGATTGGACGGATCACGAAATTGATGGTGTATAAACCTATTCCATGAAATTCTACACGTATGTACCAAGTTTCGTGGCAATCGGTTCAGCGTTGTCTGAGTTTATCACTGCCAAATATATATATATATATACAGTAGACTCCCTCTTATCCGGACACCTTTTAACCGGACATCCGTTTAACCGGACTACACTCGGCGGAAATGACATCTCTTTAACCGGACAATTTTTATCAGCACATTGGTTTAACCAGACTAGATAGGCAGGAAGTGGGCAGTATTGGAACGACTGTTCTCGTGAGAAAGATTTGAGACCAGTGATTACGTGTCTAAATACAATGCTCTCATAAATTTAAGTCGAATATCACAGTAAACAGTCCGTTTTAACGAGTTTCTGGAGACGTCGGTTTAACTGGAAAACCTGTTATCCGGACTGGCCTCGGTCCCGAGGAGTCCGGATAAGAGGGAGTCTACTGTATATACAAACATCCTCTTTTATACTTATAGATAGTAGGGCGACACTGTGGTCATGCACTACAATTGTTAACTTTAGGCTAGCCCATATTTAAATATATATTTGCTCTGCTTGTTCTTTTAAGTACTATTGGTATTGATTTTGCTTACTCTATAGCAATTCTGTCAGTTAGGGCAAAATTAGGATCATAGCCTAGTGTTAATTATGGCCAATGCCCCAGAAAATAGTTTTCCAACTTCTTTTATTGAAATATGAGTTTTTGCCTTAAATAATTTATCTGGATATTTTGTTTTCAGGAGCAATTGGAAATACTCCCCAACCACCACCAACTGAAGGCCCAAATACAACCACCGTTGCCCCAAACACTACTACGGTTACCCCACCACCAACCACTCCCAACACTACTACCACATCAACTACCCCTACTACACCTACTACACCAAACACAACCACAACATCCACCACCCCTACCACACCCACTACCCCAACCACCCCAACCACGCCGACTACTCCAACCACGCCTACTACCCCAACCACGCCTACTCCTACAACTGCTAAGCCGACTGCTGCACCCACCCCCAGGCCTGAGCCAGACCGCAAGTTTGATGGCACTAGCTTCATCGGTAAGTTGATATTACCTTGATCATTAATCACTTCATGTTGTGATCCTGGTGTTGTAGTCTGTAATAAAAAAAGAATTGAGGTTTGACTAGGGTAAAATAATTGATCTCTAATCCAAGTCAAGGCCTATGTTATTACCATATTTACGTTTTGAAAGCAAGGAAATAATTTTTGTCGGTATGATGTTAAAAGTTTAGTGAAGCTAGCACTGGTTTTTGCAACATGTGTAGCCTAATTGCCTGCTCGCACTTTAAATAGTAAGCTGATTAAACCAACAGCCATCGTGTTGTGTAGCCGACTGAAATAAAGTAGCCTATTCACAATAAATAGCTTTCAGTGGCGGATCCAGGATTAAGAGAAGTCGGGGGTTTAAGTCTGGGCACAATGTTGTGGGAATTCGGGATACTTGCTCCAGAATAATCTTGGGATATATGTACACTATAGGCTATTGCTATTAGTGAACCTACATCATACCTACATCAACTTAGGCCAATGACAGTGAATTCCACAAAAAAAAACAGGTGTTAGAGCTCTCGCCAAATTTGTAACTTTCTAAAATCCCCTTCCCTTGCCCCGCTAGGACTTGGGGATGATTTATGAGGGTAGCAGTCGGTGTTTTAATGAAACTAATGCGGCAGGGACTCATGCAGCGTCCTCTGTTAGAATTTTTCTATTGAATTCATTCATTTATTCAGTCTGCTGTGTTTCTCAATTCAATCAAATAGGCCTACCTTGTATTCCGAAATTGTAAAATCATTTTCTGTCTTTTTACTAGGTGTTTAATATTATATTCAGCATAACCAGTGAACTCAGTGTTTTTCATTTAAAATTTACACAAATAACTTTAAACTCGTTAATAAATTTCATAAACAATTACCCAGCTATCAGCGCACCAACCAACAAAAATAATGTGTAATTTTTAAATTTTACAAAAAAATTATTTTAGAGCCATTTTTTTGTTCCATGGATAGGCCTACCAAATTTAGAAGGGTTTAACAGGAATAGCCTACGCACTGTATCTGCTTGTGTTTAAAACGTTTAAATGAAACTTCGTTAGGGCTTAAAAATCCTTACCGTAAACATAGTCTGCGGTCACAGTAAAATCGTGACACATTGACTTTGGTCACAGCAAAATAGAGAACGTTTCTGTGTTTACGGCTGGACAATAAACACTTACATGGCCATGGCAAAAATCAAGAACGTCTTCTGCAATCACAGTAAAATCGAGAAACTTAAAAGTTAGACAAGCAAAGTTATTGACAATACTGAGAGCTGCTCTTCCGCATTCTTTGGAAAAATCGAGAACACCTTCCAACATGGTTAGCAAAATTGTAAAAATTTTACAGTTGTAAAAATTGTAATTGTAAATTGTAAAACTTTTTGAGGATATAGCAAAATCCTGAACTTCTCCCACGGTGTTGGTGGCATCACTGTCTCCTATGATCGCAGTCAATTTTAGATTTTCTTAAAACCTTTTGCAATCAGTATAACCAAATTTATATTTAGAAAATTTTGTAAAACTATAAAAATGGTAGGCCTATCTGTAACAAAAATTGAGGATAAATTTTTCAGGTATTGGTAGGTATGGAGAATCGATTAACTTTGGTATCAATACATACTAATTGAAAAAAACTAGTCTTGAAAAGTCTAGAATTAGTCTTGAATTTTAAAATGGAAATTAACTAGACACCCTGTATCTTGGAAAAAAACCAAGATACACCAACCCAATTGACACAACTGGATATAATCATTATTGCTAGAAACTGTTGGACAATCTGAAAATAGCAGGAACCCACAGACCCTAGTAAAATGGTACACTTGGCGACTGGTAAAACCAGAATTTTTCCCGTAGCTATGAGCCATCCTGTATAAAGCATTTTTACTCAGGGTAAATACGTACAAGGGGGGGGGGGCTGTATCCCTTCTTAGCTTTGTGGATCCGCCACCGATAGCGTCAAAACATGTTTAATTTAAACTTCATCATCCGTCTTAGAACTAACAAATAGTGTTAAAGTACCAATTAATTTTAATATACTTTTGGACATGAACAAAAAAATTCTTACTAGATGGTTTAAACAAGATTGCTCCAAAACACTGACATAGAAAATCCGCACAGTGTTGGAGTACCTAATCACACACCATTAAGCCCAGCCAAGTATTACCTTGCCCGTTTCCCTCTTGTTTCTTTTGTAATTTAGCTAGATTAAAGAATGCAGTAGGTGTATGACAAATTATTAGGACCCAAAGGTTCTTTTCAATACTCTCATTTTTGAGCTTGTGTCAAGAAGAGTCACTTTAGGTCCTAGTCTCGTATTTTAGCCTTTTATGCCTAGTAATTTGCTTTCCACTCTCTCTTGCTGCTTGAAAACTAATTAAAGCTTCTTATTAACATGTTCTCTATTAAGTTAGCGAAGTAATCTGTCGACATTTTGTTACCTTAGTAGCTAATATATTAACCAGTATTTTGCTTTGACATCTGTGCAGGTGGAATTGTGTTTACTTTGGGGTTGATGGTGATTGGTTTTATATCTTGGAAGTTCTACCTGGCCAGAACTGGGAACGGGAACAGTTACCATATCCTGTGAGGACAGTTTTCAAGACCGTTAATATTTGTGCAGGTGGAATGGTTCTTACAATGGGACTAATGGCGATTGCCTTCGTCTCCTGGAAATTCTACAAGGCCCGTACCGAACGCAACTACCACACCCTTTGAAAAAGTAAATTGGACTTGTCGAATTATGACCTACATTAGATCTGTTTGGGTGTTTTTTTACGTGTGTGCTTGGTTATTTTACTATTCATTTATTTAGCCTTCAAACTACGATCAAGACTAGGTAATCTTTTAACTTAAGTTTGTTTAGGTGTGCAAAATTAACATTTCATCAAAGGTGCATGTAATATATAAAATAATAGTTTTTACAAAATGTTTTTGCTATATGTTCAATGAATTAATTGGAATTTTCAGGTTTGTGTTATTGTATTGATGGTGGTAAAATAACCTAAATTTTTACTATTGGTGACTTTCATTATGTTGAATTTGATACAATGTCAAGGAAATATTCTTGGTCTTAAGTCATTAATGTTCCGCAAAACTTGTTTGCATTTATTGTTCCGTAGAAATCACATTGGCAACTTTGGGGATTTTGCTCTCTATGTAAATATAAGGACAGTACGCTGAGGTAAAGATTTGTCTCCAGAATTAGGCCAAAGTTGTGTGTTAAACATAACACACACTGACACAAAATGTCAGTGTCTATGTCTGTTCTTTTGTATCTAATCCATTATTATCTTGTATCTTAAATTTGCACACCAAATTAAATTCTATCGTATCACCCCAAACGGTAAAATGTTTGTTAATTTAAATGCACACTCAAAAATTTTAAAAATCTCATTGATAATCTCATATGTAGTTTTATGTGCTTTGGTCTTTGTGAATGGCCTAATTCCATAGCTAATTCCAATAGTCTTGTATTTCCGTTTAACATTTCTTACATTGTGAGTTAGGCCTACAAATTTGTTGATTATAAATTTTTAGTTTAAGGTGGTATTTTTTAGTGGCTGACATAGAAATGTAAGTAACACAATGTAATTACATTTGCAGATTTTGATTTTAATTTGAAATATTGATGAAATTGTGAATCAAGCTCGTACATAGTTGATTATTTAAATTATTGTGATGCAATATTAATTTTAACAGTCAGGGTGGTTAGTCTAGGTAGTAGGTGAAATGACTATGGATTTAATGGCGCTATAAAAATGATTGACTTATTGTTTAAAGCCATGTAACCCGAGGTCTATAATATATTCTTAAAAAATGTTATTCTACTATCTTGGTTTTCATCTCTTACATCATAAGGCCAATTTACGACATGAAAATTCTTTGAGAATAGTGAAACTCAAAATCCGTCCTTTTCACTTAAAAATAGTTCCTTACCTGTATTTGTATTACTTTTCTCAAAAAGTTTAGAACTAAGTAAGTAATGAAAGAACAAGGAGTAAGTCAAATGTTTGTGTGGTATCGGGGTTGTGAATATAATTTCTATATTTGTATCAAAAACTTAATCGATATTGTACTTTATGTTATTTGATTTACCTCATGATAAAATTCTACACCATTTCACCATGTGCAAAGTTTGTGCACGTTAAACTTCGAATTTAATATTGCAATAAATGTTAGGTCTATTGCTTTCCGTGTTTTGTATAGTTCTGTTTCATTCCTTATGCGTACATAATAAGATAAATTTGAAAAATCTTTCAACTTTTGATGTGTCAAAGATTAAACCTTAGGCAGTTGCAGATAAATAATTACTCTATTCCAAATGTAAAATTAAATTTTTACCCTTATGCATTTCTTGTGGTGGGAAATACTGAATGTAATGCAATTTATCTAATTTGTCTTTATTATAGGTTATGATAAAAATGTGTCAAATGTGGTTGAAAAATTTGATTATTTTACTGATCAAATTTATTTACAACCTTAATAATTCAGATCAAAACTAAACATTATATTATAGAGTCATACTTAATACTTTGTGTGCCTATAGTGTAAGCTGTGATACACATGTAGAATTTATCGACTTCTAATTAAGTTCTAGTCTTAATAGAAAATTAGCATTCTTTGGATATCCTTCATTCATTCATAGTTTGTGAAGTTTTTCTTTTCAATTTGGATACAATTAAATTTACTATAGTTTCATATCATGATCAAATTCACCTTCAAGAACAAGAAATTGTCTCTTGTATTTTTATACATTTGCCATGTTTTAACGGTTAAGTTTAGAAAATGATATTAAAAATAAAGAATTCCATATATTTGCTTCTTTTATTTAACCTGATTTTATTTTCTGACTTGTACTCGCCTCGGCTTACTCACCTCCTAGTTCTGTGGATCCTTAAATGATATATATAATTATGAATAATTGACTAAAATGGATATAAATGATGGCAGTAGTGAACTTTTTTACAGTAATACTCTAGAAGAGTTTTAAGAGCCGTCAGAACCACCTGTCATCTTGGATTTTCTGCCCATAAAGGCAATGTTAATGGTTGAAGCAAATTCCGGCATTGTTTATTAAGACAAAAATTTGAAAAATATCTTATTTTAAAGCTATTGAACCACAGATGTGATTTGCCATCTACTTTTTAAATTTAATTATTATTTTTTCAAACTACATATATATTGACTGAAACTGTGATTTTTTCAACCTCTAAAACAAAAGTTTTAAAAAATCAGAAAAGCAATTCACACAGAAAACATAATTTAGAATCACATAAAACTTTCTGCTCGGTAATCAAGCTTACCGTGCATAATTAATTTGCTTCAACATAAACGCATGTTTTTGCTGATCGGCGCTAGGACAACCACTGTTTAACCTGGCATCTGACGGTCAACAATACTGGCAAAACTATTGACTTTTGCCGACTCTTAAGTAAACAGCAGAGATGGTTTCATAAAACCTACTAACTATAGTTCGGCCGCGTAGAAAGCGACCTCCTCCAGCATTGGTTTAGCATTAGCGCGCAGGTCGCTTTCTAAGCGGCCAAACTATAGGCCCTATTGTAATAGATAAATGTATCAGCTGTTTTTTTTTTTTTTTACCTGTTTATAAGTTGAAATTGAAAAACTATACTATCAGAAATGAACAATTGGCATGTTATTTTCTTGTTCATGAAAAAAAGCTACAAGAGCATTCCAAGGTATATTCTGCTTCAAGGATTGCAATAAGTAACTGAAAATTGCACCTTTAACAACCATAACTTTCTTACTTAATTCATTTGTAAAACTAAACAATGGCTGTGATAAAATGATATAAAGTGCAATCCAATGTCTACATTACTGTCTGCAGTTGAGGGAGGAGCCTATTTACCACAAACCTCAAAGTAGCCAATGGGGACCGCACGTTGTTGCCAAAATCTAAAAATACCAGCTGATTTGGAAATATTGTTTAGTATATTTTAATTATTGTCAAAAATTAGTGAACGAGTGATTTTGCAACGTCGTGCTAGCCCAGTCTTGCTATTGGTTGCTGCCAACTGCAGACTTTCGTGGCCCCTAGTGTAGTACTCATTATATTGTTACTGTAGAAAAAGATTATGTACAATTTGTGCACAAATGTTTGCTACAAACAAAGGAGAAACTATCCAAGTTTATCTTGTACATTTTTGTTTTGAACAAAACAGTTTTCACACAAATACCTATTTGAAATTAATGTTGAACTACCAAGAAGTGTGTCTGTATAATCATTGATAACAGCATCAAGCTATCTAATGGGGCATTAGAGACGATTGACGATGAATAGTCAATCATGATCTATCTTCATTTATAAATCAATAGTCATTCATTATAATATCATACAAATTGAAGACTAAGATAAAGGTTTATAATACTGGTTTGGTCATTCCCCCTCTCCATGATGTAAAGTAAATACAAAAGAAATTAAGAGCTAAATGAAAGGTGTAGTTATTGTATTTTATCTCACACAGGGAAAGACTTGACAAACAAAATACTAATGCTTGTAAAAAATTGATTTCAAAACTGAAAAAAAGAAAATGCATTAAAGTAAGCCAGTGTTTTTATAAGAATGTAAAAGAAACTCAAAGAAACACTGTTGATACTCAAAGTCAATAAAATGAAGAATAGAAAGATCTGTACCACTCACATATTGTGTTAATGATGTTATTTATTACCTTACTCATCCAAACAGACTATCTGGCAATCATCTTAAAAAAACCAACATCTAAGTTGGAGGTAGGAAAAGGGTGAGAAAAATACTTTTTCCTACAGTTACCTAACAATGTACATGTTCTCTCACTGATTTGAGAAAGCAAAGTGGCCGATTCGCTCATCAGTGAGACAATGTTAACATTGTCTCACTCTAATTACTTTGTCTCACTCCAGATTTGCAAGGTGAAGGCACGAAATAGTGAGCGCGTAACATGCAGGCAACGTCGTATGCGCGCAAAATACGTTGGCAGCACTGGCTGTAAATCAGCTGGTCAGCTGTTGTACTGTTGTATTTGTCACTTCACATTAATGTTACATTAAAAGTTCACTTCTGTGTAAAAATAGGTTATGTTTCTTCACCAACTAATTTGTTTTATGGTAACTGTAGGAAAAGTATAATGTGCAACTCGAGTTCAAAGTACAATTGCCTCACTCGAGAAACCATTCCTCACTCGCCTACGGCTCGTGAGTAAGGATTTCTCTCGAGTGAGTCAATTGCTCACTTTTCTCACTAGTTGCACAAATAACTATAGTTAGACATCATGATGGCTGGGTGAGAAAATTGGCGTAATGGCAGCAAAAACAAAAACACACACACAGCATGACCTGGGCGATAGATGAGACCGATGTTGTGTGTTGAGTCGCTCCTTCGACCAAATACCAATATGTTTGTCCTTGGTCACCCGACCATGAAGAGGCCGCGAGGGGTGCTAATACGATCATAGTATCTTTCATTAGGTAAACTATAGGTTGGTACTGTCGTACCATTCAATTCTGGGGAGAGTATTACTTGTTGACGTTGACAGTTCTAAACTGCGCCCAGCTGTCTTTTCTGGTGATTGAGCTGAACTTTAACTCACTGATTATAGTCAGTTAACCCGCGTCCACACAAGGCCCCACTAGAAATACAGGCCATGCTGCAACACTACGTCACAGTGGTGGATAGTTGTACTTAAATCTTACCATTAAAATCTGACAAACAGCCAGCTGATTTACCTAAAACGTATGGGATATAGCAATGAATCTATCCACTAGTGTGACATCATGGATCCTGCAGCATGGCCTGTTTTTCTAGTGGGGCCTTGCTACACGAGGCCATAGTATATAGGCAGGGCACCTCAAGTAACTTGAGATACAAGTTACCTCGTACACTACTGTTTTTCTTCTTGAATCTCTGAAAAATAACTGAGGCAGGTAACCAGGCCTGACAACTGGCTTCATTTAGACATGGCTTAACACAGCTCTCATCTAACACTATTTTTTCAGTTATCACTGTAAAATACCACCCTATAGTGTTGTAGTTGTAGAATTCATTAAAATTGTTGGTTTTTCAAATAATTGTAAGGCCAACCTGATTGGTCAAATACTACCTCCAAACCCTGACAAAGTTTTGGATACAAATACACAACTTTTATAATTACGTGAAAGTTGACCACAACGGTATTCTCTATAAAAATAACATGGGATTTTTTAATTTATAGAATTTGTAATTTTCTCTTAAGCCATTAAGTGAACAAAAACACTTCAGGGAACTACATTACTTTTTTAAGCGTTACCTTTGACTATTATTACAACTTCAGTACCCAAAAGTCAATGGCGCTACAAAATGGTTTAGAAAGAAAAAGCAAATTTTTATTTTGTTGAGTGTTAAAAATGGCAAACAAATATTTGCCCCATAAAACCTCATTCCCCTCTGATCATGCTGGTTTGCATGAGACCTACAGTAATAGTTTATTACCTGAATAAGAAATTCGCTAAATAATGAACACAATAAAAAGGTGAATAAAATAGCGTAAAAATGGTCTAGAGTTTTAATAATAGATACAAAACATAAAAATAAATAAATTACACAGGTAAACCTTAAAAAAAATTAAAAATATCAAAGGTGTCTGTGAGTAACAGTTCAATATCTAATTTTCCCTTCACCTTAATATCTTGTGAATAAACTAGCGCAAAACAACCAAATATATGCACAAAAGGAATGTTAACAATTTTATATTTCAATCACAAAATGACAAGGTCACTTATTATCACCGTGGATGTTAAAACTTCAGTTATATGTCTCTATACATACAAATAAAAAATTAACTAATATAAATAAACTATGATTTTATTGCACCCAAATTAATAATACTGATCAACTGATAACAAAGTTAAATGGAAATTTTAAACTAAGCGTGGGGTCCTCGAAGCTATCCTAAATGCATTGGGGTTCAAATTCCACCTAAATTACTTTATCTTTCCCTTAGGAACTTGGCTCAACCATTTGGTAGGGTTGGCTTGGATTTCTTTCTTTGTCAGTTTGTTTCCTACACTGATATACTCAGCGTAAGCAGCCGTTGCATTGGTCGTGCTTAAAACTGCATGCACCTAAACAACAAAAACATATTTAAAAGATGTATCCGATATGATAAATGTATTTATGCCACACTACACTATTTCGATGAACCTCCCACGAACGATTTAGTCCAGAAAACAGCTGTTTTCCGCCAGCTTAATCAAATGGGGTTTCATTGCGTACTACTGTACTGTAATGAGTTTTACCGGACACCAATCAGCTGATTAATACTGTATTTGGGTGGCAATGGATGGTTATAAACAAAAATATAACCTCTCTTAGAGGTTATGACTAGTGATTTTTAGTCCTTAAGTTGGTGGTAATATATAAGGATTCGTACAGATTTAGTAGTATGGCATAAACTATCGTACGTAACTCGTCCAAAATGTGTGTACCGGACTCGTATGGTAATCCCGCACTCGTCCGGTTAACACTTATTTTACTAGTAAGGTAGGCTACGTAATATACTATTTTGTTTCGAATACGTTGACAATAAAAGAAAAACAATTAAAAGTTAACAACATATTTGTTTTTACCTCATCTCCTTTGCAGAAGTAGGCTGTGAACTTGAGTCCTTTCAGGTCTCCATCAATCACTACATCATCAATAGTTTCAGCGTGGCCTAAAACATTAGAAGAATTCTATAAGTAAACTTAATTAGACAATAAATAATAATTCTCACATGGCTTAGAGGAAGGGAAAGTTCCATTGCAAGGGGTTTTCTCCTCGTCTGAGAGCTTGGAGACCTACAGCTTACAACCACCAACTTACAGTTATCATCACATTGCTAAAGATTGTTGGCGATTGACAGGATTCAAACCATAGCCTCCAGACCACAAGGACTGTGCTCTATTTACCAGACCAACTGCACACTGTTTGGAATTTGACATGCGAGGGACTGCAAAGATGAGATAGGCTTATTATAATATTGAATTAAATTATCAGTGTTTCTTTTATTTGTATGTCTCAATTATTTTTTTTAAAGCTGACAGAGGTTAAAAAATTATGTTAAATATTTTTCAATCAACATGGTGTTTTAATATGCTATGGAGCCATTAACCAGAACCATCAACTCAGAAACTCGAGTGTCTACGGTTTACGCAAGAAAACTTTGTCAAAATTAAAGTTCAATCAAATGAGGCAAGAAAAGAGTTATAATTTAAACTTGATTGTTGTTATCTAACAGGAATAATGCAGATGACGCCATAACTGCCTGATAAAGAAATAGGCTTTCAGATAACAATTATGATTCATGAATCATAACAAAGATCTCAGACCATGAACTTGATTACAATATGCAGTAAAACAGCGTTTTCAAATTTATGTATGCAAATAAATTAATTTATAAGCTTTCAAAATTTGCAATAAACATCAATATTATTCATTGTATTATAAAAAATGCTAGAGACTATGTTGAAAATGCTAATAAACTGCCAGAACAACAGATTTAAAGTAAACATTTTACCAATAATGGACGCTTGGACATAAAAGTAACTTAATGAAAAAAAGTGATGCTGTAGTTGAAAAAAATGAGATTTTATCTTCCAAGAACTACTTGATAATCTGTATGATTCCAGCCAAGTAACGAGACTGTGAAGAAAGACACAAAAACCCATTGGATTTTTTTGTACCATTCCCTTAACAGTGGTTTTAATAAACATGAAATAAAGAGAGTCATGATGGTGTGCAAAAGCTCCATTGAGTACTGCATAGTTCAAAAACTTCTAGGTTGTTTTCATTACATAATCTACGTTCATAGTCTGACTCTAATGGTTAGCTTGAAAAAAATATACGCTACTAAACTCCTCCCAAAATTAATTAACCTTTAAATATAAAACATTTGTAAGTATCCTTTTGATTATCTTGTTTAACAGGCGGCTTTACAAAGGTTAGAAATTATTGGGCCCTTAAACATCATAACCCACCAGCATATCTGAAGCCAGTACCAAACAGCATGGTCCAGAAGAACGGGACGGTGTGCAGCTCTGTCTTTTTGCCTAGCATGTTTTTGGCCGCAATGTGCCCATGGTAATGGGCGACCTGCCAGTGACCGATGGCCAGCCGCCTTCCATCGTTGACAAACACTGGTGCAAAAGCGATATCTCCACCTGCGTAGATGCCCTTCAGGCTGGTCTCGAGGTACTGTGAATAGTAAATTTTTTGTTGTAATATTGTAAACTGTAAAGGTTAGATAAAGCTCCAAAAGTGTCCGCAATAGTAAAGAAAAGCAGAATACTAACACTTATATTCCACATATGCGATAATTATTTTAGAGGTTAACAGACTCATAGGCTTCTGGCCTGTACGTTGAATCATGGATAAAACATACTCCCTTAGTAGATTTCTCATCCTTATGGAACAGCTGAAGACAATTTTATTGTTAGTTCTGTACGGTTTATGTAGAGATCGTGTTTTGTTTACAATTTGTTTCCTGTTATTACAGTCATTTAAACCTCCTTTAACCAAATAATACGATCTAATCATAAAGAGTAACTTGTCCCCTAGTTATATAACCAAACAGTAAAGCACAAATCAATAAATTAACCTTAAAATAATAGAAACAAAATTTCGTCGACACTAGCGCCCAGTGTCACATGAACCGTGTCACCGTACATGAACTAGACACAAAAAACGTGCTTCAAAATTTACAATGGGATGAGAAGTCTACTTGTGTTGGTTAGTCTATGGTTGAATGTAAGCAAGGCTAAGCCAGTACAGTACAAGAATGAACTGTACTGAAAAATGTTAGTGGAGGCACAAGATATCGCTGCCTTGGTTCTTAGTCTATCGACCTACCGTCTAGGACAACAACCCACCAATATTAGTATCAATATATTGTAGTCAACATAAATTGCATAATAGAGCCTTAAAAATGTTCAGTTAGCAATCTTAAAGGACAGGAGAACAAGATAGAAAAATCCCAAAGTTGTTTTTTTATTCAAGTAACAAGTGATATATTTATTCATTAGTCAATGTGGAATTAAAAATCTCTCTAGCATAGTGGTTAAATAGAGTTTCTTCTCCAAACCTAGGATTGGTAATTCGATCCATTGAGAAGGATCACTACAAGTTCCAGCTGTAATCCATCAATGGACTAACAACACTTTTAAACAAAAGGTTGGTGTTACATTGTACCAAGATTGAGATTGGACCACATCTACGAAAAATTCCCAACGAACGATTTCTACTCATAGGCTATCATCATCTTTAACAACATAAGCTGCAACATACCTCGTCAGTAGGCACCAGACCGTGTTCGTTCACAGACACGTTAGATCCACGCAGGAAGTCAGTGTTGTACGTCGACCCGACGGCAAGTATGACAATGTCCGCAGGCAGTTTCCTTCCGTCCGCCAACAACGCATGGGTTACTTTGCCCCCCGAGCCTTCTAGCTTGCTCAGAGTAATGTTGGGCTGAAGAACAACACCCTTCTCTTTGAAGATCTCCGCAATCCTCTCCCCGATGGCTTTCCCGAACTGCTGAAGAGGAAGTGCTGTCCGCATCACTACAGTGACTGACTTAGCCTTGCCCACAGCTGCTGCTGCTGACTCCATTGCTGCAAATTTTATTGGAATTGGTCCAAAGTGTTGTTTTTCTTTCAGTCAAAATTCCTTTAGCGAAACATTTTCGGAAAAGGTAAAAGAGCCTAGTTTACCAACTCTAACTGAGGTATTGAAAGGTTTAAAATAACTGTAATGCTAAAGTGATTGTTAGTCAGAAGTGAACAGGGTTTTCAGCCTAAAGGTTTATTTTCAAGCAGCATTTAAAGTCCTTTTCAAAAGATCCTCCACATTTCAGGGGTTGTGAAAAGTTGTCACAAACACATACAAAAATTAAAAAAAAAATGTTTTGCCAATAATTTGAGTCATGAGACTCCATTGACCATCCACACCACACGTTTGCTATTTTAATGTTTATTCAACCCCTTCATGTTCAGGTCACTTCGCTGACCCTAAAAGAAATTGTCTTGACTTCCCGACTTTCCAGGCTCATTTTAAATTTTAATAGGCATATTTCAACATTGACGATATTAATGATCCATTATTTATCTTACCAATAAAGGAGGATCCACTGATGACGACATGTTTATCCTTGTCACTGCCAAGAGCTTTGTTCAGACTCATTGTGTCTTCAATGTGCCTCAAAGTGAACACATTCTTCAGATCAACCCCATCGATTTTCAACTTCCTTGGCCTAAAGTGGAAAAATATACAGTTACAATAAAGAAATATTCCACACAGTAAAATAGGATACAACTAGGCTGACTCTAAATAATTATATTACACTTGCTCTAGAATAATCATTATGTATACTTAAATAAATCTCAAATTTGTGCACTTGAAAAAATGCAGGGACTGAAACTTTTGTTATTTAGACTGTGAAAAATTTAACCTCTTAAAATTCTTCAATTTTTTTTCATGCTTTGCCAATAAAATGTGTATGCAATCAGCTAAGAACCTTTAACAGAGGATATGCAGATGTACCGTATCACTGGTACTATTTTGAGGTTGTCTTTTAGAGGAAGCATTTTACTTTGAAATAAGTAGGAATTAAAGCAAAAAACTAACCTAAATAAATAGACGCCCTTGCTCAACCCCTAGGGCAAAAAATGATTTCCTAATTTTGTAGCAAATACAATAAGCTTTTGCTCAATGTTAGGGTCTCGTTCATCACCTGGCTGCTTTTGACCAAACAGAGCCCTTCTCCTGGCCCCAAGTCTGTTGCAATCCAGAATGATGTGCTTTGCAGTCTCATCAGACTGGTTTGCAAAGTCGACACTCGAAATAGACCTTTAACTAACTGTTTGTTGTTGGAAAATATTAGAACTTTATAGATTGTTCTGTAGTATGTAATGAATGAACGATTTCTAAACTTACTGAGCTCCGGTTGCGATGAAAAGTTTATCAAACTTGAGAGTTTCTCCATTGGCAAGATGTACCAATTTTTGGGCAGGATCGAGCTTGGTTGCCTCAACACCTTTCAGTACTTCAATGCTGTTGTCCTAAAATATGTTAAAAACAAAATGTGTCAGATATGTCCAATCTATTTATCGGCTAAATATCTCCTTAATTTTTTCCTTAAATATATCTTTTGAGACAAAACAAAATATTATATTTAGTAACTTACTTTTGTCAGCAGCATTTTTGTTCAAAGCATTTATGAAAGAAAATCCCAACCAAATTTAAAATAAATCCAAAAAATATTGTGCAAATCTGCAAACACACAGTGGTTTGAATGAGTTTCCAAAACTTCTCGGAGTTATCAAAATACATGTAGGCCTAGGTCATTACCAATAGTTACTATAAGAATTTGACTAGTAGCCCGCCACTGCTAAAGGATCTCATCTCACTAAAAAGGATTAATAGTTTACTACCAATAATCTACCTTGTAAAAGTCCTCAGGCCGTAGTTGTATCTTGGAAGGTTCAGAGTCCAACATCTTGGAGACCTTGATGCGGTCGTATGGAACGTAAGGTTCTTTGCATACCATGGTGATGCGTCCATCAAACCCATCCTGTCTCAGGGTCTCCACACACTTAGCAGCTGCAGCTCCTGTGGGACAGATGAGTTTAGGATATCAAATGTTTTAAAACAGGTGAACTGATAAAACAAACTGAATTCAAGGGAATTACCTGATGTCAAGTGGAAAGTTGAACTGCTTAGCTTCAGTAGCCTACTGATGAAAATATTTTAATGTACAAATTAAGACTTGAAACAAAGAAAAAATAATGAAGATGGGCCTAGTATTTCAGAAAATTCTATGTTTCATGTGTTTATTTTTACTTTTAACTATTTACACAAACAAGCCTGCTGTATAATCTATCCAATCCACCACAAAATCCTTGAAAGCTGAATTTAGGAAAAGTAGAAAATCTTGTTTTTGTTTGTATTACTCATTGAAGCCATTCTACTGTTTTGAAGTTCAAAATTCACTGAGTCAGCCTTTTTCAGGGACGGTTTGTAATGGAAGCATTCAGAGCTAGAACTTATCTTGCATCCTCAAATATCACTGTTCTCTTGCAAAACTGTTCTTTCCAGTGTACTCAACTTCACTGTTATTTAACTGGAAAGTAATCTCCCCCACTTATCCGTTCCAAAACCACAAGCTCTTTTAACCTAACATGAAAACTTAGTGGTACATTTTGGGTCGATTTTAGCCAGATATTGATACTTTGAGAATGACCCCTTGCACTATCTTATCACGAAAATCACCATTGGCTTGTCTATATTTTACTGTAAAGGTACTTTTTAACTGTTCTTCACTGCATAGACCAGTAGTCTATGACGAGCTGGTCTAGTGGTAGGTGTTCCCTGATGTCCCGAATTAAAATACTGACAATCACATATGGATTTTATCTAAGTGATAAAACAGCAAATCCTCTATAGCAGTCCGAAGTAATGTGTAAGAACAGTTCTGGGCTAGAGCTAACTTATAAGCAAAATCTATGGTGAGAGATAGAGGCTTTTTACGAGAACATAGAAAATCCTACCTCCTCCAATGATGACAAAGCTCTTGGACTTATTTTTCAGTTTGCACATTCCCTTCACTCGCTTGTTCTCTTGCAAATCACTCTTCTTGGCCTTCACTTTGACTCCTCCATCGCCCATAATCTTCACTTCATAGGATGGAATGCTGTCGAGTCCGGGGAAATCTTCAATATCACCTGGGAACAATCATCGGGTGAAGTTTTGACAAGTTTGACCAAATATCATCATACTTTATAAATTATATCACCCGTAACAATGTTTAATACCTATCATATAGAGCTGGGAGTAATTAGGCCTAATACACATAGTTTTCAGAGTAAAATTGTGCCACTTAATTAACATGACTGATGATTTAGACTTTTATGACCAACGAATATAGAGATAAAATTTAGGCCTACTGCTCCAAAAAATTTAGAATTTTATTTAGAAATCTACTGAATCTCATTTCAAGTGAACAAACGGTTTGAAATTAGATTCTACATCCTTTAAAAACAGCCAATTTTGATAAGACATTTTGTTGTTGACTGTTGTTGTCAAAACATTCACATCCATAAAACCACCCATTTTTAATAGAAAACTATTTAAACTAGTCCTAATTGTCCATGAAGAAAAGCTGAATATGTTTCTCTACATGAAACTGTGCTTTTCAACCCCTAAAGAAATTATTTTGCTTTTTAGCTCTTATAGCACATGATTTACCTATAAAAAACTGAAAATGTGAGTTGGTTGTAAAAGAGGCAGGCTACTCTATAATGTAGGCCTATATGGAGCATAATATCAGCTACTAAAATTTATTGAAATCGGAGCACATGCATGAAATCCAGACAATTACGCACACAAACACTCCGCAAAGCTGTGTATCCCTACCTGTGGCTAGGTTGAAGCAAGCCCCGTGCCATGGACACCTCACCTTCCCCTTGCCCAGGGCACCAGTCACTAGGGGTGCCTTGTAATGGGAACACAACGTCCCCGTGGCGTAGATCTTACCATCCTGCTTGGCCAGCAACACCTTCCCATCGGTGCCGATGTCAAACACTTTCATCCTGCCACAAAGGAGTTAAAACAGTGTTAACATCTACATCTATTAAGCAGTAACTAGTTTGTTATTTTTACCACAAAGATTGATTAAGACTAGCAGTAGTTGAGCTTATCTAACAACAGAGTATGGGGCCTATAGAGGAAATATGCTATATCAAATTAACATGGGGTTAATTGGAGAGTGGTGGTTTTATGAACTAATACCAATTTATTATCAAGCCAAACATAATTTCCAATAAACCCCTGTACTGTTTTATTTATTTATTTATTTATTTATTATCATTCCAACGGTAGAGCCATTTATTTAGTGTTTTTGTTGGATAATGGTTGAATACCAATTAAAATGTTCAATGCTCCAAATATTAACAATAGCCTAATCGTAATAATATAATAAAGGGTTATCGTGACTTACTCATTTTCACCGATGGCCGACTGGTTGCAAACCACACTCTCAACGTACTCATCTTGTGATTTACCTGCAACATAAAAACTCTGTAACATTTTTTACACACAGAAAAGATACACAGAAAAGCAATACCACACTAGAGACAGGTTCTCAATGCAAATTCTGACAAATATTTCAAAAAAGTTGAGATTTAGATTTAATTTTATCAAGCAAAAAACATGCAGGCAGTTGAATTAATAACAACAAATACCAATTTGATAATTATTTGGATTTACTAAGATTACGGTATCTAAAGTAAATAAATTTGAAAATAAACATTTTTTATATTTTTTTGTGTTATCACACATTATAACATTTGTATACAAGGTAGGTGTACATAACCAATTGAAATCAAACACAATGCCCCAAAATTACCATAACACCACCATAGTAAACCTAGGTGCCAACTGAGCCATCCAGCCTCCTGTCATTAGCTTTAACTAACTCAATAAGTGGGTGCAATAACTAATACACGTAGGGAGATTGGAAAGTGAAATAGTAGCACTATTAAATTTCAAAAATTGAGCCGATCTAGTCATAGGTGCATTGAACCATAGATTAAACATACCCCCATTTAACTTAAAGTATGATGTCATAACTGGTAATTTAAGTACTTAAATTACCAGTTATGACATAATACTTTAAGCTATAAATTAAAAGCAATTGTCTTGCTTCATTGCTATCCCCTATAAAAAAGTAATTTCTGGCCATATATGGCCATATCAAAATTCCATATATGGTTTCATAAAGCCATATATGGTTTTTTATGGACATATATGGAAGCAGATATGGCCAGATGTGGTTGTATCCATATATGGTGGTGTCCATATATGGTCATATATGTAGTCTATATATGGAATTATTGGCCATATATGGCCATACATGTTTTCTATATATGAAATGATTGTCCATATATGGCCATACATGTTTTCTATATATGAAATTATTGCCCATATATGGCCATAAATATCCTCCATATATGGAATCATGGTCTTTATATGGCCATATATGACTCCCAGGTATGGAATTAAATTACTCATATACGGAATAATAATTTTCCATTTATGCTCATGTATAAATGAGTTTTTGACAATAACTGGAATTATTATAAGGAATAGTTGCCACATTTGGATTTTGTAACTGGACTCCCAAACACTTCTTATAATATATATAATACTATAAAAAGTTTGTGAGTTTGTGTATTTTCTTGTTGCTCTCGGAAGCACAAACTACTGAACTGATTGAGTTGAAATGTGGTACAGTGGGGGGCAGATAATATAGGCATTTCTCATTTAAAGTAATTAGTAGTAAAGTAATAAAGTATCCAGATTTGAACCCAGATGACAAAATCCTGTACATACATCTATTGTACAATTTTATTATAACGCAACAAAATCTTAAAACTGACGTATAATTTTAAAATTGTAAGTGTAGTAGGCCTAAATAAAGAGAATATTATATTAATAATTAATTTATTGTACCTTTGCTATCAAACAGCTGCAAATATCTATGTCACGTAGTTAGGCTATATTAATAATAAAATTCTTCAAATGACATAAAATGTCTAAGAAAATCTTGTTTTACGAGACCAAATACAGCTTCTCTTATTCGTAATGGGTTTTGTAAAGACATCTGATATGAAGCGGTTGTGGTGTAGTGGTCAAAGGGGTAGACTCCCACGCTGGAGTCCCGGGTTCGAATCCCAGTCGGCTAATTGAAAATTTTGTTTTGAAATTTTCAATTTAAAAATTTTTATTATGGTTTTAATGCATAGTTTATAAGATTTAATGTGAAAATATGTTTAATTGTAATTTTTTTATTTATTTATATATTTTTTATTAAAAAATTTCCATATATGGGGGATTCCATATATGATCATATCTGGTTATATTTGGTCCAAAACCAAATATAACCAGATAAAAAAAATTTTATATGGCCATATATAAACTTTTTCATAAGGGATGTAGGCCTAATGCAAATATGAGGGATGTCCATTCAAACTCCATGTTAGGTCTCTATCAAGCTTCCATTATGACAAAATAGACTAGTTCAAATCTAACACCACAAGCCATGTACTCCCCCCATTTATTCTAGATGTCATGCACCTCCATGCTATAGTGTTATAATACTTAGATTGAAATTAACTAATTGCCGATTCACAAGAGTAGCCCGTAGCCACATTTTGGTGCGAGATAGTCATACTGCTAACCCACTGGCTTTTTATTAGTACAAAGCTAACATACGAGCGCTATTATCGTCATGTGCTTATACAGGCTATTAATCCGTTTAGCCGACGGTGGCATGGTTGCTCAGTTAGCAAACGTGTTTCACTGACGAGTGTCTTACTTCTGAAGTCTTTCTACATGTGTGGATATCACTAACATAATGTGCAATCCATATGGAGCTTACTAATGTGTGTCTTAGCTGGAGCGGAGGGTCTACCTTAAATAAACAGTGTCCGGCTTGGGTGGAAGTTGAATAAGGGTTGCACCTGATTTGCTACTTCTTACATTGGTATAGAGAAGGACACAAATTTTTGTTTTTTGGCTCTTATTTTGGTTAAAAATGGACATATGATAAAAGGACATAAATTAAAATAAATATTAATAGAGAAAAAAACATTAAGCTGTCAATAAGTTAATAAAGGCAAGAAAATTTACTCTAGTGTTAAGTGAAGTGTGATCAGTGTTAGTCTATGATTAGGTTTTGGTAGTGTTTATATATTTAATAAATGGAGTCTATATCTATATCACTGGAAGGCAAAGACAAAGTTCAAACATTGGAATGTAAAAAAAATCTCTTAATCGATTTTGACGATTTCCAATAATTGAGATGGAGACGGCAGACACCTAGATGTGTATTTTAAGTTTCGACCCAAAAACATGAGTTAGGGATGAGTTTAGAATGGTGTGAGATGATCTGTGTGGATTTTTTACTGACTAAGATCAGCTGTTTCATTAGCCATGATCATTTATTTAAAGCCCAATGATTAGGGAACAGCTGGGTCCAGTTTTGATTATTTTGAACAATCAAAAAACTCTAGACTTTTCTCAGGATCGAATCAGCGACCTTTTGATTGTTAGGTGAGCACTATAACCACTCCGCTACCCAACTTTAATTAATTCAATACTTGGCAGAAATGTCAATCATCTCTTCCATCTTTAACAGCTAGCCTACAGCAAAAATTCTTAGCTTCTGAGTTGGCAAATTGAATGCTCAATTATAGGTCGAGATTGAATACAATTATTCCTCCAAAGTCAGCAAATTGATTCTAAATTCTAAAAGTGCTTTATATTCTATATTGTAATATTAGATAGTTCAAGACTTTACAAATTACAAAATAATGGACCTAGGTATCACTATTTAAAACACGATAACAAAATTAGCCTACAGTAAAAATGTGTTTATTTTATGATTAGTAATTTTAAGTCGAACTACCAAAGGGATTCACCTAATTAATCAATTTATTTACTGAGTAAAAAAAGTACCAGATAATTTTTAAATGGTGTACAAAATCTTAAGTTTAACAAATAATGAAGAGGATAGGCCTTTTCTTGAGCTTTAAGTATTTTCATAACTCAAAAATAAGGGATTAAAACTAAAACATACCCCTGGTCATTTTAAAGATTACTGTAGGTAACTGTAGGTAATTTTTTTAAGATTTGGTGGGTCAAATTCTGAGTTCAGTTTTATAACGGAACAAAATACAGAAGTAGCCCAAACCTTACAAACACACCTACTGACTCAAACACGATTCTGTCTCAATTATGATAAGGAAAACATAACTCTTATCTGGAGTTACATAATTGGAGGCACTTTGTGTTACTCATTGAATATTAATACAATTTTTGAGTGAGTAGGCAAAAATATAGGTAACTGGTACACGTAAGTAGCTTTCCATATCTGTTCAAAAACTAAATATGACAACTTAAAGTAAGTTGTCAGATACAAACCAAATTAACCTTGTTGAAGAAAAGATATACATAGCCTACCAAGCAAATTCCCTGTTTATTGTGTACCATATCTTATTTTTAAGCTTAATTTCAATCCTAAACGGTTAAACAAAAGGGAAAGGAAACTTGTCTAAATAAAAATGTTACTATGCACTATGAGTACTTAGTTTTGCTGCTACAAGGAATACAAGTGTTTGTTATTTCTAATAACTGTGTTTTTCTTTCAATTTCTGTGTTATTAGGAATATGGTGGTGGGCTAGTTAAGTTAACACTTAACAGGCAAGGAGTAGTCATGTAATTGACTTATCTTTTAAGCTAAGTTTAATAACAAAGTATATTTATAAATATTGTTGGGGTTTCGGGTTAAACATGACAAAAACTGTTCCTATGAATAGTGGTGCTCAATCGCGTATAACCCAGAATGCTGACCGCATAAAGCTTTGCCTGTCAATTCGTAGGCAGCGCCACCAGCATACAATGCACCAGCATAGCAATGCTGGTAGCGCTGCCTACGAATTGACAGGCAAAGCTCCACGCGGTCAGCATTCTGGGTTATAGTAGTATGTTTCCTGTGCTTCTGGAGAACTAAAAGCAAGAAACAGTCTTCACTGGACAAATCGTAGATAAATATTGAATTTCAATATAGTTGATCTCTTCAGCCGATTCTTATTTTTCTTCAAATATGTTCCTTTATGTTTTAACAAAACCAATCAATAAGTACGGTAATTTAAAGAGGCTTACAAGATTTAAATTTACAATTTCAATGAATGATAATGTAATGATTGTTATGACAGGGATTGAAAAGGCTTAACAGCGTCAAAATGCAATGGCACACTTTTTTCACAAACTTTGAGCTCATGCAACAATGACATTTAAATTTATTTGGAGGGGGGAATCATTTGAAAGACTCACCGGTTACTTGTCTAGCTCCAAGCGCTTGGGGCAGACCCCACCTCCAAAAATTATTTAACCAAGGCTTTCTAAGGATAACGGTGGCCATTATAAAGAAACACACTATCATGCTTTCCTTGAATGTTTAGTCAGCATACGTATCCATAGTCTCGGTTACCATCTTGTTTACTAAAAATTCAAATAATAATTCATTACTGAAATGAAACACAAATTGTAAAACTTTTTTCGAAGACTACATGATAAACTATTTTATATTTTGGCGATAAGGAAATTAGAAATATCTAAAAACATCGTTTGTTCACAAAAATAATTAAGATTAAACATAATTTTAGCAAAGTTTCCTCTCGACACAATTTAAAAAATAAATTTACGCCATTGAAAAGTTGCCCAGCCATATTTAACTAGGTACTGTAGGCCTATAGTCCAGTCAATAAAGGGATTGTAGAGGACATGGAGAGGGGGAAATTTTTTTTCTGCGGGAATGTGTTCGGGGTAGTTAGAAGATAAAAATACCAAAAGTCCCCGCCCCTGGCCCTGCTGCTTCAGCGGGGGGAGGGGGGGAAAGACCCCATTTTTTAGTTTTTTACTTCTACACTGAAAACCGTGCATCGTACGGAAAAAATGTAAATTATAAAAATAAAGATGATAAAATTTTCTACAAGAATGGTCATATTCATTTCTTCCGTATATGCATTGGTTTAAAAGATATTCTCAAAATAATATAAAAATTCTCAAATAAATTGATTTTTCACGCGTTTTTTGTCAAATAAGTTTATATAATCCATTAGCCTGTTGTTGTTTCACATTAATCAGGATAGAAAACAGGGGTTTGAATACTAACCTATATAATATAATATATCAATCGTATATATTGTGTTAAAAATAGTCTATATAAATTTAAATAAGTTATGTATATTTGTCATGGAAACAAGTAATTTTGGCATAATTATTACACTAAAAATTAAAAAGATTATGTTTGAAGCTATATTTGTCCAGGTTTATTTATATCAATTACCGAAACCAAGACTTAATACTATTGTTCATGGTCTCTCCATAATCCAATTCTTGTTCATTAGACTCAATATCTGCTATCGATGTGAGAGTCCAGTGTATACATTCGTCATCATCCTCATTTATCAGAATTGGCATTCTATTTAAACGGTCCCCTTAGCAGTTCTGGCATAACGGCCAACAAGGAACATTTAATGGACATTTCGTTGCATGTACATCTTTCATTGCTACAATCTTCAGTATATTTGCAAAAAACAAGCCCAAAATTTATTGTGGGTTATGTGGTTCATTGGTTAAAACTGGGAATAGATTACCTTTTTTGCGCTCCCAATCCCACATTTCTGAGGGTAGTTGGTTTTCCAAACAGAGTTGTCCTTTGATTAAATGATACAAATGATGAAATGTCATATATTTCTAAACTGACAGCAATGTTTGAAAATCACCCACTCTTCCCTGAAACTCAAGACATCATGTCAATAACATCTGGGGTTGTAGGAGATGAATCCCTTAACTGTTACGATGCTGTATACAATATAAATGCTACGTAGTCTGCGAGTAATTAATCAAATTGTAATCATTTGCAAACAACAAGCTGTCACGGGAAAATATGGCTCTACCTTTGTCCTCTGTGAGTTCAACCATCGATATCAATGATTAAAACGTTGCAGCAAAACCTTTAATTCTGTTTCAAAGGGTTTGTATAAGTTAAAAAAGTTATCAAGATTTAAAGGATTGTTAAAGATTTGAACTTGCTCCATTTCCCTTTATTTAATGAGAGTGGTATGAGTAAAGACCAAAAATGCCTGCACTGTTCAAGTTCTTTGGAACCAACCAACAACAGTTTTAACGACTTTTAATTTGGTTATCGATGGGGTATTTCTCACGCATAAGGTTATATGGCAAAGGGGATCTTCAGTGTCTGCGATATGTGATGGATACGTGAGGAACGTGGAAACATATTATCTTGCAAGGTAATGCATTGTTGTTTTTGACGGATATAGCAATTCAGAATACAGCACGACGATGGCAGACCAAATTGAAAAAGTCAGTAGCAGTGGCGGTCCCAGGATTTAATTTCCAGGGGTGGGCCTCCGGTGGTTAACCCCCCCCCCCCCCGGAGAAAATGTGGAATTTAAAGCACTATAACATATTTTTATATGCATTTGAGCTCTAGATCTGCATTTGAATATCTTCAAGCTAATAGTATTTATGTTAGCTAATAAAATATTTCGGAGAGGATATATACCTCCCCCCCCCCCCAAAGGACCACGACTGGTCAGTAGATATTCATTCGAACTGAAATCATAGTACAGTTAATCACCTAAGCAAGTTTTTTGCAAATGTACTAAAGATTATAACAGTGCCAGATGTGCAATTTGAGCATGCAAGAAAATGTCCAATAAGTGTTCTCCTTTATGCCAGAACTGGTAAGGGAACTTTTTACATGAAATGCCCATTCTGATGAATGAGGAAGATGAAGAATATACAGGACACCAAATTCTAACTTCGATAGCCAATATTGAGTCTAATCAACAACAATTTAATGACGGAGATGTCCTAGATGGTGGTTTTCAGTTCCAGATGGCACCAGTTTTTGGGACAGAAGTCGGACCCTCTCGTCCCAAGTGAGCCAGACCATGAACAATAGTATTAAGTCTTGGTTTCGGTAATTGTTATAAATAAACCTGGACAAATATAGCTACAAACATAATCTTTTTAATTTTTAGTGTAATAATTATGCCAAAATTACTTGTTTCCATGACAAATATACATAACTTATTTAAATTTATATAGACTATTTTTAATACAATATATACGATTGATATATTATATTATATAGGTTAGTGTTCAAAAACCTTTTTTCTATCCTGATCAATGTGAAATAACAACAGGCTAATGGATTATATAAACTTATTTGACAAAAAACGCGTGAAAAATCAATTTATTTGAGAATATTTATATTATTTTGAGAATATCTTTTAAACCAATGCATATACGGAAGAAATGAATATGACCGTTCTTGTAGAGAATTTTATCATCTTTCTTTTTATAATTTACATTTTTTCCGTACGATGCACGGTTTTCAGTGTAGAAGTAAAAAACTAAAGAATGGGGTCTTTCTCCCCCTCCCCCCGCTGAAGCAGCAGGGCCAGGCGCGGGGACTTTTGGTATTTTTACCTTCTAACTACCCCGAACACATTCCCGCAGAAAAAAAATTTCCCCCTCTCCATGTCCTCTACACCCCCCTTTTGAGCATTCATTGACTGGACTACTACTTACAGGGAATATTTTGAGTCCAAAATTTTAAATTAGAAATAAAAATGGTAAAAACTTAAAAATTTCATTTCTAAATAGAGAACACCATTGTACTGTATTACATTTCCTTTACAACTGAAGCCATTAAAATGAACTAAATATGGCATTGGTCATTGGATATCATCCTTCTTAAATTAGGCTATGCTTACAAACTTAAAATAGACCAGAGATTGGACCATTCTGTTAAGTTATACAAAATTTTTTTAATTACCAATTTACTCAGGACTTATTTGATTGGCCAGCAAATTTGGTTGTGTTTCTGTGTCATAAAAGGGTAATTATTAGATAATGCAATATCACGTAATTTTGAGATATCTACTTACAGTATTTTTCACACTGAATCCAAAAATGCAATCAGTTTTTGTCGGAGAGATTCCCTAAGTGGCCGTACAGTTATATAATTAATATTAGCCTAAGCTTTAGTTTTGTTGGGTTATTCACCTATTTATTTGTGGTTTGGACGAGTCCAAGTTCTAGTGGCGGCTAACACAAAAAGGGGTGGAAGGTTTGTGGAGTGGAAACAGCTGAAATACAATAAATCAACTGTGATACCTACGTAAATTATTAATCACCATCACTATCACTATACCATCAGTAAAGCTCAATGAACCTTAGATTTGTAATTTTAACCTTCGTTTTACGGCCACTTATGAATCTCTCCGACAAAATTTTGGATTCAGCGTGAAAAATACTGTAAGTAGACATCTAAAAATGACACGATATCGCATTGTAGATATATAAAATATTTGGCGTCAAAAGTTAATTAACTTAACTTAAGACACACTCTGTGTGTGCAAATTATCGAAATGCGATCCTACGATTACAGTTTCAGGATTACTAATGTTGGTTTACAAATAGTTAAGCAAGTATTCAATGACCCTTTTTTGTTGACTAAGTTTAGGCTACAACATGAGATAATTAAAAATTAAAATGAATGTGCAAACTTAAACCTAACCCTCACCAGTCTGATCAGTTGATGCAGCCATTTGATATTGTTGCAAAAGATGTTCACCAGCGAGCAACCATTAGCCTACGCCAACACCACCTTAACAAGCATCATGCAAATTAACTAGAGAACAATTTTTATGCTGTTTGACCTAGTGTAGCCTATAGGCTAATTTAAAAAGGCCTTCTAAATAGGCAGGTAAAAGACTTCACAACAGTTTTACTGTAACTTATGTAGGCTAACTTACCTAGTTAAAAATTATTTTACCTGGTACATTACTTGATAATTAAAGGCAGCATCTTTTACCTGGTAGGCCTAGGAAGCCCGTTTTTACAATATCAACTTAAATAAAAAAATCAGGGGGAAATCAGGGGAGAATAAAAGTTAAAAACCATTTAAAAATCTTAAAAAAAACACCTTCCATCGTTTACCAAAGTAAGTTAGCCTATTACAATAATCATGAAACTGCTACAATATCGAAACAGCCTAGATCAGGTAAGTTGATTGTTATGCCAAAATACTAACCTTAAAAACAGACAAGTCCCTAGGCCTACTTACTCATTTGTTACATGATGAATACCGGTTATCTTAGAACTAGGCCCTAATCTTGCATTATCCAATTATGGTGCATTTGCATTTGAGTTGTAGTAAAAAGACTACAATACCAGGCTTTGAATAAAAGGGCTTATACAATTTTATAAATCATAATGATTAATTAGGTATCATATTAGGTGTAAACAACTTGCAATAGCCTACAGTGTTAATAGTGTTTAGTAGCCCTACCTGTTGATGATTTTGAGCCCATTTCCATCAAATATCGTAGTATCTAAAGTAAACTTGAATCTCTGTTTTAAAATATTGCACAGGCAATGTTTTAACAGGTTATAAAATGTAATATTCAATCACAAGCCTATGTTAACTTAAGTTCATTGATAGATGACAATTGAAAATTAATTAAAGCTGACTCCCAACACTGAATGTTAGGGCTGATTGGTAAACACCAATTTACAAAGTACGTTGGAATGTTAGACAAAAAATCGTCAGTATAAACACCAGCAACTAACCTAGTTATACACCTTTCTCTTGAGCAACGATTGCTCAATATCCTTCTGTTGTATCCTTTTCCTTCAGGGCATAGGGTTAATGACAATGATCGGGTTACCTTCGATGATATAACCTTCAAACTTCAAAACTCGGCCACTCCACTGTCTGTTTAGTGTTTTTCTATTGTCATTATCTTTAGCAGACTAAACAAGCAGGGACAGGGCATCCAACAGATTAAAAGTAAACTTATGACAGCCGTGGAGTACAAAATATCCATTACAGCACTATATAAAGTTAATTTTTTATTATGGTGGTTTGTGGAAAACATTTACACCCTTTGGTCAAAACATACTTACGTCATAAACATATTAGTTGAGTTGTTGAGTCTACTGTAGTGAACAACTTTTATTTGTCCAGAGTTCGTAAAGCCTTGGCACCGTGACTGTAGATTATTTGGCAGTTTTACATTGCGTTACCTTACTTAATTAATTTTGAGTGGTAGGTAACTGTGTGCTCTAGCTGTATAGGCTAGATATCGTTCAAGTTATTTTGTACTGCAGAGACTTGATTGATTGATTGATTGATTCTGTATGGGCGGACCTTGTCCTGTTGCACGTCAGCCACTGATGGGCTTTTTGCGCTCCCCACATGGTACTTCAGAGTCCATCAAACCTGAGTTGCTTAACTCCAGCATCCTGTCAATGAGCTCCTCCTGAGGAAGGTGTCTGCCCCTTGTCATTCCACCAAGAGTACTGTCCCTTACCTTACCTCATTCAGAGCTGTGCAGTCGTAGAGTAGGTGATCAGCAGTCTCGTCTGATTGCCCACATTTCCTACACGCAGTGTTACCATTGTGGATCCTCAAGCGATGCAGGTGTAGTTTCAGGAAGCCATGTCCAGTGACCATTCCTGTGATCTGTCTGAGTCGCCTCCTGTCTAAACGTAGAGCATTGGAGGCGACCGTCTGGGAAGGGGAGAAGAGGGTGAGCTTACTTACCCTATGGTGCTGAAGCCTAACCCATCTTTTCCTGTATTTCTCCTGAGCCCATGCCATGACTGAGTGACATGCATGCCCACGAGAGATTCCACAGAAAAGGCTGTGGTCCCACGAAGTCTGAGGCTGACGCGAAATTTGCTAGCCTGTCAGCCACCTCATTCCCTTCTATCCCTGAGTGCCCAGGAACCCAACAGAGCGTTACCTTGTTGCGCCTGCCCAGGTCACATACCGCAGAAAGGCAGTCCCAGACTACCTTAGAATTGAATTCATAGGAGTCAAGCGCTTTGAGCGCAGCCTGGCTGTCTGTAAAAATGGAAATGTTGATGTCCCTGAAGCCTAGCCTCAGGTTTTCCCTAGCACATACCATAATCGCAGTCGGGTGAGTACCCATAGGAAAACAAATGTCCACCCCGTTCTGCACTCCATGAATTCCAGCCCTAGTCCCACTTCTTACCTTTGAACCATCAGTGTATACCATTCAAGGTCGCCTTGTGGAAGAGGATTCCCACCGTACATCCAATCATCCCTGGACGGAAGGAGGACAGTGAATGGTCTGGCGAAGAAGAATCGAGTCGGCATGTGATCTGAGGGCATGTCCATTACCTCCCCTCTTACCTGCTGAGTGATCCGAGAGTGACCTCGGGATCCTCCAACATCCAACCAAAGGTTTTCACACTAGAGTCTGTAGGCAGTCCTCCTCGCAGTGACCTTGACATGCAGGTCAATCGGAGTGAGGTTGAGAAGGCAGTCCAGTGAGGCTCCCGGACAGCTGCTCATTGCGCCCGTGATGATGAGACAGGCGAGTCTTTGGACGGCAGCCAGATCTCTCACCGCCGACACTGAGTCCATCTTGGGCCACCACACTAGTGAGCCGTATGTCATGGCGGGCCTTACCACGGAGACAAATAGCCAGTGCATGAGCACCGGCTTGAGCCCCCAGGTTCCTCCCACCATCCGTCTGCAAGCCATGAGTGACCACTTACCTCGATCAATGACCTTTTGGAGTTGTGGCCCCCATTGCAGCTTTCGGTCCAAAACCACCCCAGGTACTTTACCTGGTTCTGCATTTCTAGCACTGTGTCTTGTAGTCTCAGAGGTCCTATGCCATTTAGATCGCGCCTCCTCGTGAAGGGGATAACCGCCACTTTGGAGGGGTTTATAGAAAGGCCTACCTCTGTGCACCATTGTCCAACTGACCTCAAAAGGCTGTGTTCATGAGGTCGGAGACCGTGTTGTTGAGTTTACCCATAACCAGTATCACAACGTCGTCCGCGTATCCTTGAACGAATACACCACTATAACTGAGAGATCTGATTAAGTCATCTACAGCAAGGTTCCAGAGAAGAGGAGAGAGTACACCCACACCCCCCTGTGGACACCCTCGTGTGGTCCTGGCCTATAGAACCTCATTGTGAAGAGGAGTTTTACCTTCCTCCTCCTAAGTAGAGACTCTACCCACCTTCACACCACCTCATGGAATCCATGAGCTCTGGCAGCATTGATGACAGCCTGGGTTTCAGTGTTGTCAAAGACGCCCTGGATGTCAAGGAACGCCCCGAGGGCAATCACCTAGAACTCAAACGCCTTGTCGATTCTGCTTACCAGGTGATGTAGGGCAGAGTCACAGGATCTTCCTGGGGTATAGGCGTGCCGATTTCTATGTAGGGGATTGACTCTGAGGACTGTGTCCCCCACATACCTAAGCACCAGTTTCTCTAGGGTCTTCAACAGGAATGAGGACACTTCAGACTTCAGAGACTTATCTCTAGATTTGAAGTCCCCCAGTTTACACCATGCTCAGAGGGGAGAGGGAACTCTCGCACTACTTGATACTTACATGCTACTTGGTTTCTTCATCTTTGACCAAAACAGTTGGATTGATTGCGTCTTATTTACATTAAAAATATTTTTAAAAAACACTCGCGGTGATCCCATATTTCCTATTACATGGTTTTGGAGCTGAAATCGTGTACGTGTAACTCGTGACTTCAAAACACCATTCATAAATTTAAAAAAAAATATTTTTCTTTGTCTTTGATGGTGAGACTTTGCTTGACAAATGTATATGACGAATTATTTCCTATGCTATTATTCGTTTAGCTTTCCTGTGCTAACAATGTCATAATATATACACATAATAACATAATATACCGATAATTAGTCTTTATTTTGATTTCTACTTTTGCCAAGGGATTTGTTTTTATTTTTGTTGTTGTGTGGTAATAGTAGTTACGTTTTTCACTTTAAAGCTTTCCTTTATAAATATTATACTGATGGGGGTGTGTATGTATAAGTAATTTAAAATGAAAAGTCGATAAATACTAGGAACAAGTTCAGTTGGAATGGAAAAAGTTCAGCATTCAGAACATATACTAGTCATCGGATTTAACCCTTTTAGTCACGAATTTTCAAAACAGGCGTGGAACTTGTTTTCATTGTTTTAGCCATTGTAATCTATTTGCTGATTTTTGGTGGGGTTAGAAAAAACTGATCTCACCCCTTATAATAATTATCGCTCATCTTAAGACGCTGCGACTGAGGGAGGAAAAATATTGTTTTATTAAATCTATTTGTTGTAAAAGTACCTCAACAAACTTTGAAAATCCATAACTAAACTAAAATTAATAAAAAACCGTTGTTTAAGGAAATGAACTTGTTTTTGAATATTACCATAGATAAAACATACTCCCTTAGATATTACTTTGTAAATTCGAGGTTATCCGTAATGGTTTTGAATCTGGAAACTTGGCGTTGTCAATGTGGCATTTGTTTATACAAAAATACTATGCAATTTTAATTAACTTCCCATCAATTGTACTTATAAGTCCATCTTATAAGATGGAGGAGTGGAAGAGTACCTCTATGCATATGTAAATTAAGAGGCACAACCGATCTACTAATGCAATTCTCAGGTTCTATCTTGAATGGTTTACCCTCTCTAACTTGATTGTTTCCTAGGTCATCGTTGTATAAGGTTGAGCGATCCTGTGCTGTTGAAAATCTACAAATCACTTTTGCTGATTCTTGATTACGCTGGAAATATTGAATGAAAATGTTAGCAATTTCACCAAATTGCGAAGAAAACTGATTATAAATGGCTTTATTGCATAGGTGAACTACGTGCTATAAGAGGTTAATTAGGACTGTGCATAGCAATCGATAACAAACTTGATAACTATTCTCGGTTGTTAAGGAGCCTATCTGTAGTTACAGGTCCACATACTGGCAAAATAAAGCGTAGAAGGTATATTGTTGCAGGAGAGCTTTCCCTACATTTAAACACACCGAAATCCAAACAATAACTAATCAGCAGAACCATCATCTTAATAGTTTTGAGACAACCTACTCCTGAATAAATAACATGTGTGTTTGGTAATGAGGAAACTTTATTTTTATAAAACTCTTAAACGAATGCAAACTTTATGTCCCAGAGCGTACTTTAGAGTGACCTATCTTATCAGGCGCAGTTGTGGATGCGGTTATCTAAGAGTCTCTGTGGACCCATGTACAATATGCGGTATCACCATAGAGTTTGTATCAGGGAGACATTCTTCAATATCAGACCAAGTGAGTTATGAAGTTTTACTACTCTGTCTACGTGCAACGCTTTGAGTACAGTTTCTGTGTTTTAAAAGTTTCCAACAAATTCTTTAAGTGTTTTCGAAATAACTGTGTATTCAAATCAAATCAAATCAAAACATCCTTTATTCATTATGTACAAAATATACATGAATAGTGTCAATTCCTAAGAATACCAACATAAAAATAATATAAATAAATAAGCCGTACAACACTCATCGGAAAAAGTCATTGAGCTTATAGCAACACTTGTTACATAAAAACTTAAATAAACTTTTTTTAATGACCTGAGGGAAGATGCAGACATAATGCAATCAGGCAGGTTGTTATAAAATTTAATACCAGAGTAGTGGGGCGAAAGTTCAAAGGTAGAAGATTTGTGTTTGGGATATGTAAGGCAGTCTTTGTGTCTTGTGTCATAATTGTGGTTGTCTGAACTAACAGAAAATTTAGAGATGTTTTGTTTGGTACAAATTATAGATGTAAAGGCTAGGAAAAGTAAGAATGTTATTGATTTTAAATATATCTTCACATGAATCTCTACTTTTGAGAGAATAAATTATTCTAATGATTCGTTT